AAGCTGTCCAACAATGGAAAGAACTCCCTGAGAAAGCACTCTGCACCCACCCCTGGCAGGGCACCGTGGAAAGGATTTCCACACAGCAAGGGAAGTTGGACTGCAGGATTTCTCAATGCCCTTCAGGCAATTAAGATTCTAAGGCTACTCCTGGAAAAAAGCAGCTCGGGCCTTGCCAAAGCTGTGGCAACATTTTGCGCTGAATCTATCCTTCTGTTATCAGTGAGAACATTCCTTTTCTGTAACATTCCATGTTTTATCGTTCTTCAAGACTCTGCTAACAAGCTATCTTCTCGCCTGTGCCTCTCAGAACTAACTTGACCTCAACTTTAGCATGCTGGCTATCTTCCCTTGGCTCCTCCAGATCCCCTATCCAACCTTCTCCACCTCTCTGTGCCTCACAGGGCTGCCCTCTATGAATTAAATCTCCCAGCCTCCTTACTTATCCTCTGGTTTCCAGCTGGGTTTGGCCAATGAAAGGCTCCAGCCTGAGATCAGAGGGTGGGAAAAGAAAGGGTCTGAGGTATTTATTCCCCTTGATTCCCTCCCTGCTAGGGTACCGATTGGCAGTGGCAGCATTCCTACAGGTTACCCTCTCCTCCAGCTAAACTTTCTAAGTTCCAGAAGCTACTCTCTCTTTGCCCATTCAGGCCTAAGAATGATGATGGCTCTTAGCCCTGAGGTGTTTCACCAACTCCTACGGGTCTTCTTAACTCTGCCCAGCTTTGTAAATAGTCCTTTTTTCTCCTCAATCACACTATTGGAGGGTGCCAAGAGATAACTGATATACCCAACCTACTCTTCAGCCTGCACCATTCCACCTTCCCGGATGCTGATTTCCCCTTACCCCCCAGCATGGTTTTTCTCTCAGTAATTGTGTTCTATATGTTTCCACATACGGACTGATTCACTCTGAATCAATTCCCTATGGAAAATTCTTAATCCCAAAATGATTTCCAGTTCTGTCACCAATGTGTACAAACTGTATGTTTGGGCAAAGCTTAGAAAGCAAATGTTACTAAAAATTCCTGACACACAGACTGCAAAGCCAAGCCAAATACTGGGATTTGAGGTTTATCTATTTATAATCCCTCCTTCCTTTAGACCAATGGCTGGAGAAATTATCAGACTTGTTATTATAGTTTTGCTTTACCAGTAAGACTAGAACAATGCCAAATACAGTGCTCATCTTACAAGGGCCATTCAAATGGTCAACAAAATTTTAAAGGTCCTACCAGTCCCAATAAATTTTCCCTTCCTTCTAGACAGTCCTACAAATAAAACACCAGATTCAAATACTAGAAATGAGCTTTTAGTGCCCATCTTTTGGTTTAGTGCTCAAATCCTACCTGACATTCAGAAAGAAAGCATGCCTGAGAAAGAGTCAAGGCTTCAAAGAGAAAGCTCTAAGATCTGGAAAGATTCCATTTTGAACTCCCCCCAAAAAACTGAGACAGGCTTATTGTTTCCACATCAAGAGTGCTTCAGAAATGTTGCGAAGAAAAGCATTTCTTAAGATTTTACTGTATCACAGAAGATTGTGCTGTATACTGTCCAATATATATATTCCAAAGCAGCAGGACTTGGTCCATGGACAAAATAACCCCAAGTAGCACTGTAACAGACCCACTAGACTCTAAGAAAAGACTCATTCTCATGCGAGAATATGAATGCAAGGGCTACGCAGATGCTATTCCCTATGTTCAGGAACCCTACACCAGGGTTTCTCAACCCAAGCACTACTGACATTTTAGGCCACATCATTCTTGGTGGTGGAGTGCTGTGTGCATAGTAGAGCCTGTAGTTGCATTCCTGACCTCTAGCACTTAGTATGGCAACCAAAAAAGTCTCCAGACATTGCCAAATGTTCCCGGGAAGCAAAATCACAGCTGTGAACCTTGGCCCTAGATAAACTCTCAAACTCCGCCCAGCACTATCAGAGCGCATATGATTCACTGGATGAGAAAAGAGAAAAGCCACCCAAAGGAGCAGACTTAGCTTTATAAAGTACTCTTTTCTTAAAAGCGCTAAGTATTTGACAACTTGAAAAGTGACACCATTCCCCAGCACTAGGAAGGAGGAGAACACAGGTGAAAAGAATGGTTGCCAAAGTGGAGAGAAACTGCTAAAAAAAATTCCCGGACTTGAAATCCTCCTGAAAGCACCGCAAGTCTCAGATGAATACTCTCACCCCTTTTATTATCTCTGAGACACAGGTGGAAAGTATTACAGTTCATGACATAAGTGCGCAAACGGAAAAAGGCAAACCACCCTTATCAAACGAGGGCAAAGCGAAGGGCAGGAAGGCACTGAACACTGACAGCCCCAGCTCCGTGGAGTGGGGTACAAGGCTTATCATGGACGGACCCCGGTTCATCTTCATGCTTTAGTGCCACATGATACTGTCCATACAAGTAGTTTCCAACCCTATCAAACACAATGCCCTCTTTTTCGAACAAATATTTTATATGCCCTTTTATTGTTCTGAAACGGAATTCAAAGACCTCTACGAACATAACTTTTAAAAATTTCAATATAATGCCCTAACTGCAAGGTACGAGAAAATAAATCAGAAGATCTGTATATAATAAAATATATGTTTTCAGACAAGACCATACTAGAAAACAAAAGCACCCCCCCACACACTTCCAAAGTGCCCCCTCAGAGGGCAGAGCTCTCCCGCCCTACACAAACCATGTCCCATCAGTCACAAAGCTCAGCAACCTCTGTCCCTTATGAGCAATGTGGCCCAGAGGCAGCATCACAAAGCAGAACAGGAGAGATTTGAAGTCAGACTAACTGTAGTTAAAACGGGGCTCCACCACCTCATCGCTGCAGTACCCTCCCTAAGCCTGGTTTTTCACCTACAAAAGGAGGATGCCAGCATATTTTTCAAAGGGTTTTTGCGAAAATTAAATGAATATGTAGAGTATCTATTTCTGCACCTAACATGTAATACCTGCTCAATAAATGTTAGCTACCAGATTTATGTTATTATTCCTGGATCCACCTTGGATTGTGTCCTAGCTTACGCCCATCTTATTCCCCCAGCAGAAAGGATGGATGATGGGATATCCATTCATCAGAGATGCTCTAAAAAGGATTCACATACAATATAAGTAAGAAGTTGCATCACACGGCCTGCAAGATTGCTTCTACTTCTGGGGTGCTACAATACACTGCCTTGCATGGAGGTTATTTTTTATTAACTGGGGTCCTTTCTTGCCAGTTAGAGGGCCCAGAACATGTCTTCTGCTTCATACAAAGTAGCTAAAGAAGGCAGATAATGACCATTTACTACCCCCGTTGAGAACCCGGCCCTGGCCACTGGTTCTTTACCATCTGGCCTCAAAGAGCACAACACACACAAAGAAGGAATGACAACTCTTCCAGAGAAAGCACCTCAAGGAACACACACAGAATCCTCAGAGAGTGAGGATTCTCAAGAGCCAGTCATTATCCGTGTGAGTTAATTCCTTACACCAACAAGCAAATCAACACCCTCAATACTCTAGATTATCAAATGAGGAAATGAAAACTAATGTGGTGGCCAGAGAAATACTTCAAAACAAAACGATGCCCAAGTTAACATCCTGAATAAAAAAAGCAGTGACTGATCACACTGTTCAAGAGAGCCCACGGGCCCAAGAAGTCACAAGCGCATCTCTGGGCATGAAGGTGTAGCCTACTTACACCAGAAATCTTAATTTATATAAACATACTGATCTGTAAGAGGAAAAACAAATTGCCAATCGTTACAAATCATTCTGCATTAACCCTCTAAGGTGCTTATTTCTGAGTAGTATAATTATTGGTTATTGCTTCCTTTTGCTTATGTATAGCTCCCAATTTTTCTAATATGTGGCTCCTGCGATAAGAATTTAAAATCACATAATAAATAAGGCTATTTATTATCTACTGACAATCATGAAATTTGAGGCAAGAAGCTACTTTAGGTGAACTCCTTATCAGGATCTGTGAATAAGCCAACTATTTACCCACGTCTCTAAAACCATCCTTGCTCTCTGCCTCAAACTGGAACTAATCACCACTTAATTTTCTTCTTTATCCGTCCCACAGATCTTACAGGTTTTGCCACTTCAGAAAGTCAGGACTGGGTATAAAAAAAAAAAACCTTCACTGCTAGGTTTTTTTGCCAGTTTCCCAGTGACAGCTACCAGCTCTCTGAGATAGTGAGATAAAGAGAGGGAAATGAATTGTTCTGAAATCTGTGTTTTCCCACAAAGAGCCATCAGACTCAGAGAAGTAGCTTATTAAAAACAAAATGCTCTTTTTCGAGAGAGCTATTGGAAAGCCATGGGCTCCCCACAATACTCACAATAAAGAGCCTCTATGGAATCATAAATGTCCCAAGAATAAAACCTCATTTCGGTAAACACTCATTTGGCAATGCTGTTCTCCCTGCTCAGCAAAAAAAAAAAAAAAAAAAAAAAGGGCAGGGAAAGATCTCGAGAGGAAAAAACAGACTCTACCAAAGCAGGCATATTCCTCAGCCCAACAAAAGAACTTAAATTCAAATTAGTTTAACTCAACAAGCATTTGTTAAGCACTTACTATACACAGAGCACCATGACAGTTGTTTATTCATCTCTAAACAAGTAAGACATGATTATCTGTCTTGAGGAAGCATAACTCTAGTCTGGGAGACAAACACTTATAAACGAATACATGGCAGACACGGACAAAATTTAACAGAAATTTTAAAACTGTTCTGGTAGTATGGGAAGGGAGAGATTAAAATCAATTGCAAGAATTCTGTAAAAGAGTCTTCATATTCATTAAATACAAATATATTCGTATATTTAATCCAGTCATTTATCCATCCCAACCAGTAAACCCAAAATAAAAGGTGGCAGAAATGCTCAGCTACCAAAAGCAAGCATCAGAAGTGAGAGCCACACACTCAGATCCTTTAGACTAAAAATAAAACTTAAGGGACAAGTGCCTTCTAACAAGGAGGATGTTTGGGAAAGACTCACCAACATCAGAAGGTCCGTACTCGGCATCTTCCTTCCCCAGCCGTCCTCCCGGGGCCTCCCCTCTGCAAGAGGGAACCAGGTCTGTTTACTTCTAAAGCTTTAAATTGTCGCCTCGGCCCGCCTAGAGTCGCTAGAGCAGTCAAGAAATGGTTCTCTCGCTCCTTTGAGAGCTCCGATTTCACTCGCAGATATGACACTCCACCCCCAGCACCCAAGCCAGCGAATCAGAATCCTGCTGGCACTGTGCTTCCCTCCCACAGCCGACCAAACGAATCCGGACCCAGCCTCCCACCAAGCAAGCCCCCCAGGTATACACCCGCGGAAACGCCCAGCGCGCCGCCGACCCGGCCCGGAGCCCCGGAGCCCCGGAGCCCCGGAGCCCCGGAGCCCAGCCCGCCAACGCAGCAGGGCGGAAGATCGGACGCCGCGGGCAGCCCAGCCCAGCGTCCAGCCTCCAGAGCCCTCCTGGCCTCGCTCCGACTCCATCGCTTCCACCCCGGAGCCCTTCCTCTCTTCGGAAGGATCAGCAGATCCCTGCTGCCCCACTCCGCTCCCACCTCCGAGGGAGTGGGGTCTCAGAGCCCGCTCCCTCTCGGGTACCCCCCCGCTCCCTCTAACCTCGGGGCTCTGCGCGCCCACACTCATCCCGCGCCCCTCGGTCCGCCGGGCCCTCCTTCCTCCCCTCCCCTCCACCCCCCTGCCCTGCCCACCCTGGAGCCCTCCGCCCCAGCCCGACCCTCCCTTTTCCGGAGCCTCAGCGGCCCTCCTGCACTCCCCTGCCCCGAGTCCGCTTCCCCGCTCCTTCCCTGAGCCTCTCCCTCTCGCCGGCCAGGCTCCTCCTCACCACGCGACCGACTCGCGGGCGGCGGAGCGCGGGCTCCCCCTGCAGCCGCCGCCACCGAGATTGGAGGTCCGACCGCCGGCGGACCCGCCCCTCCCCGCCCGGAAATGGCTCCCCAGCCCCGGCGTGCGCGGCCCCGGCATCGGGCGCGCGCACGCTCCGGGGCGGGGGGCGAGACCCACCTCCCCTCCGGGCCCCACGGCGCGTGCGCGCCGCCTGCTGGCCAGGCAGGGACCGGCACCCCGGCGGGCCCTCGAGCGAAGGTGGAACCAGCCTGCGCCCAACCATCACCAGCTTCTCCTTCAGGCTGCCTTTTACAAAAACCAACTTACTGGTCACATTTGGTCACTTGGAGCCCTTGAGAGAGTCAGCCTGTCGAGCACTGCACAAACTGATCCAAAGCAACCACTCAAGATGGGTCTCCAAAGAGACCTTTGGGATTTTAATGGGTGACTCAGAGATTTGCCCCCTTCTCTTTCCGGGAGATTTCCTCGAGGTCAATAATGCCTGAAGAAAAGCTACATGAAAACCCCCTAAATGGAATTGCCCTCCCCATAGTTCCCTCCGCCCACAAATATGGAGAACAGAGACCAGGTATTGGGCAAAAAATGTTACCAATATTACTTTATTTTCATGAGCAATGTTGGGAGGCATCTAATACTCAAGTGAAAGTGCCCACCGGGACCACAAATGTCACCCTTCATTTCCAGATGAAACAGCTAAATCTCAAATATGTTTGTCATGTTTTGCCCAGGACACTATTAATTCAGCAGGGGCGAAGGTAGCATGGTTACACTTAACTGACCAGTGATCAGCAGGGGGTATATTTTTCAACAGATTTAAAAATGGCACCTAGATGGAATCTTGAAATCTTAACAAAAATGACACTAATGAGGGTAGCCAATTCCATCCCCTTGCAAATGTGAGGACACTAACTTACAGGGTCATCACCACCATCCGTACCCTCAAGCAGTGCTCTCGGGACCGAATCCCCTGTTAGCACGGCTGCCCTCCTCTGCACACCCGCTCAGCACTTCCCGGCCTCCCAGCCAGAGTGGTGAAGACCCTGAAAGGGTCAAGCAGGTTACCTCTGGGCTTCTCAGCCCTCAGCCCCAGCCCATCGGAAGTCCCAGACATCTCCGCCGTTCAGAGCTCCTGAATCAGTCACTGGCACCCCCAGACCCTTACCCCTCTTGCTGCTGTCCCCCAGCAGACATCCATTCTCAGTGTTGAAGGGCCAGAAAATGTTCTGGGGCCTCCAGCCGATGTCTACTCATCAAGAGTCACTTTGGGACTCCAGGCACGATCTCCCCACTCCCCACTTCCCACTTCCACCACTCTGCTTTATTTCTTCTTCAGATCCTAGGATCCACTCTCCCTCATCTCCTTCTTAGCTACTACCTCCCAACCTTTCATCTAAAATCTCTGTGCCGGCTGACTGGAGGACAGGGTGCATCTCTGACCCTCCCTTTACTCCTGCAGTATAATTTCGGGGCTCCTTACGTGCAGCAGGCAGTCCGTTCATTCTTCCCAGATGAACCAACCAATTCAACCATATTGACTAGTCCTTACTGTTGTGAACTAAATGTTTGTCTCCCTCCCCCAAAATTCATTATGTTGAAGCCCTACCCCCCAATGTGATGGCCTCTGGAAAGTCATTAGGTTTTGATGAGATCATGAGCGCAGAGCTCCCATAATAGGATTAGTGTCCTTACAAGAAAAGGAAGAGACCAGAGCCCTCTCTTGCTCTCTCTCTCCACTCACACACTAAGAGGAAGTCATGTGAGCACACAATGAAGCGGCACCAGTTTGCAGGCCAGAAAGAGGATCCTCACCAAGACCCAAACCTGCCAGCACATTTACCTTGTATTTTGTTATGACAGCCCGAGCTGACTAAGAAACTTATTTTGCCAAGAACTACACTAGGTACCTTTACATCCAAGGCTCTCTTTAGGTCCTAACTTGCCCAGATCAGCTGACTCTCATCACCTCCCAACTTGTAAATCAGGGCACCAAGGCCCAGAGAAGGTGAATGATCACTCCAAAGACACACAGAAGAATGGGGTAGAGTTTGGATAGAGAGTTAAGGCTTCAGATTTTGTAGGGAGAACCTAAAATACGCTGGTTGATTTATTAAGCTCAAAGAATGTTAGAGGTGGAGGAGTCTTCCACTATTTGCCAGCTCAATCCCATAGTATATGCATGAAGAAACCAAGGCCCAGAAAGGAACATGACTCTTCTCTGCAGTTCCTGGCAGAGCCCAGAGGCTGGGGGCGGGGAGAGACAGAGACAGAGAGACACTTCAGGCCCCCTAGAAGCTCCTCTGCCCCACACTCCCTCTCCCCCTAACTGCAGAATAACATCAGGGATTACACGAGAAGCATCAAGTAGAAAGTGACCAGAGATAAAGGATGCATGGGGATTAAGGGAGATAATTTCAGCCTTCACAGGGGAATCACATTATACCAAAATGGAACAAAATCCCCACAGCCTCTTGGTCTTACATGTCCTAGCTATACTGGTGGGCCTTGGGAGAAAGCTAGAGAGGAGAACAAAGGAGATAGAGATAAAAGAGAGCATTATACTGCAGAGGGAAGAGGAATATGAAAAAGCAAAAAGCATTGGCTAAGGAGGGGCACAGCAAATCTCCTTCCCCTATTCCCCCATCAAACACTCCCATGAGAGGAGCTTCAGAAGGAGGGCCTGAGCTGGCTGAGGGGAGGCAGAGGTGGGGCTGCCTGGGGCTTCCATACCCAGAGTGTGGTTTCCCCAGGAGCACCACTGGCATCACCTGGACGCTTGCTAGAAATGCAGGTTCTTCGAGCCCCACTCCAGGTGATGACTCTGAATCTACATTTCAACAAGATCCCCGGGTGATATACATGCACCATGAAGTTTGAGAGGTACTTCCCTGGGCACCCTGCTTGCAGAGAGAGCACAGTGTTTGTTTAGGATGGTTTAGGGAGATTGATGATTATTTGGGGGGTGAGGAGATCTAATGCTCCCCAAGTTGGCCTTCAGTGTCATCATGGTGCCTTCCAGGATAACAAAAAAACTGGGAGGGATTGGAAATACCTACGGGGAACCAGTGAGGGACTGAAATTTGTGCTGATGACAGAGGGCTTGGGGTGGCAGGGGGCACAATGAGAAGGAATATAGGCTGGGATTTTTTTTTTCCCTACATGGCTTCTTTTAAAACAATTCATGCCAGGGCGCCTGGGTGGCTCAGTCATTAAGCGTCTGCCTTCGGCTCAGGTCATGATCCTGGAGTCCCGGGATCGAGTCCCACATCGGGCTCCCTGCTCGGCAGGAAGCCTGCTTCTCGCTCTCCCACTCCCCCTGCTTGTGTTCCTGCTCTCGCTATCTCTCTGTCAAATAAATAAATAAAATCTTTAAAAAATAAAAAATAAAACAATTCATGCCAGCAAATGTGGTTCTGCTTAAAATGGCAGCCATCCATGGCCACATTAGTGACACCCCTCCCCCCATCCAGGAGCACACACGCCCCACTCTAAAAAGCAGGAACATACTGCCCACACCTCCATTCCTGTCCCTGACACCTCCCCACCCAACTGGGGACCTTCTGTGGAAGCTCACCTCAAGACAGGGCTGTGGGCAGATGTTCTTGCAGCTTTTGAACCCCTCCTGGGAAGGAATGGCCCACAAGAAAGCCCCCTGCAGGACCTCTGTTCATGGAGCCTAAAATGCCCTCCCTGCGGAGAGGCGGGAAACCAGCCACCAGCAGCAGGTTGGGATGACACAACGGGACTGGCCTTGAGAAGGTGAGCTAAGGCCCAGCCAGACATGGTGGCACCTGACGCGGGGAGCAGGTGCCCAGAGATTGCCACCCTGGGATAGACAACAAGGTGCACCTGGTCACCGGGGTCCATGTCCCAGGTGCCAATTCAGCCAAAAGTCAGAGTGCCCAAAACCCCAAGAAACAAGTCCGTTCCCAAGGAAGTCCGCTTTTCCGGAGGAAGCCATCCATTGCTGTCGGGGCTGCAGGATCACTGCTCGCAAAGCCTCAAAACCAGAGTGACTGCTTATCAGAAGCCAAGTAAATACACCCTTCCTTGGGCAGAAGGCAACCATCTGGGGCCTGTGGTGACAGAACAGCTTTGAAGGTGGGCACACCGGCCTCTCCCCAGAGATCACTGCGTGGCCTCAGACAAGTCAGTCTCCCGGTCTGAGCCTGGGCTTCCTTGGTTGTAAAACAAGGGTTAATAGCCTCTACCCGAGGGCGGTGGTGGTACCTCAGGAGACGGACACGTGGGCCAGGCCCACGGGAACACTCCAGAGCATTAGTCGAATCCGCTCCACGCGTGTCTAGGAGGAGTTCAGGTAGGATTCCAGTCTGTGCTCTGTGACCAACTAAACCAAGCCCGCCCCC